TCACCAGCAAAATCAGAATCAACAAAACCAACAAGTCCAACTCTAGTTTTCCCAAACTGTAAATAAGCATTAGAAGTACCACGCAGGTATCTGAAAATCCACTAAACTGCTCTCCAATGCTCTTTTACAGGATTAGCCATGTATCTACTGACAACACTCAATGCATATGATAAATCCGGACGAGAACAAACCATGGCATACATAAGTGAACCAACTGCACTCGAATAGGGAACTCTAGACATGTACTTAATATCTGCATCTGACTTAGGACATAAAGCTGATGATAATTTGAAGTGTGCAGCTAACGGAGTACTCACCGGCTTGGCATTATGCATATTAAAGTGACGAAGAACTTTGTCAATATATCCCTTCTGACTGAGATACACTTTTCCAGATGGTCTATCTCTGGATATTTCCATGCCAAGTATTTTCTTTGTTGCACCCAAATCTTTCATCTCAAATTCATTACTCAATTGCTTCTTTAGTTCATTAATATCTGACATACTCTTTGCAGCAATTAGCATATCATCAACATAAAGAAGCAAATAAATAGTTGAACCTTTGACAGTTTTCAAATAAACACAACTATCATAATTACACCTTTTGAAACCTTGAGAGAGCATAAAGGTGTCAAATCTCTTATACCACTGTCTAGGGGATTGCTTCAATCCATAAAGAGATTTCTTTAACTTACATACAAGCTTTTCTTTTCCAGGAATAACAAAACCTTCAGGTTGTTCCATATAAATATCCTCTTCTAATTCTTCATGTAAAAATGCAGTTTTAACATCCAATTGTTCAAGCTCAAGATCATGCATGGCAACAATACTGAGTAAAGTGCGAATAGAGCTATGCTTCACAACAGGAGAAAATACTTCGTTATAGTCAATACCTGGAATCTGACTGTAACCTTTAGCAACTAACCTTGCTTTATATCTTGTCTCGTCATTAGGAGAAACACCTTCTTTCCTCTTGAAAACCCACTTGCAACGAATAGGTTTCTTCTCTCTAGGTAATCTTACTAAATCCCAAGTGCCATTCTTTTCAAGTGATTCCATCTCATCATGCATAGCGGTCATCCACTTATTACTATCACTAGAAATAATAGCCTCGGAATATGAAGAAGGCTCAGCATTACCTACAATTTCTTCTGCAACAGATAAAGCAAAAGAAACAATATTGCACTCTTCAATTAACCTGTCAGGTTTATTACTACCCCGTCTAACTCTATCACGTGCAAGATTCCAACTAGGTGGAACAATATGCTGATTTGGAGTGGGAGTGACATGATCATCATTAATGATGGGTTCATCATGTGCATCAACAACTTCATTACGAGATGTATCACCTGAATCAATAACATACTCCACCTGAACAATAGGCTGTTGAATAGGAGGCTGTTGTTCACTCTCAATAGGAACATTAGTAAATGAAACATCATGTAACATAGCAGATTCATTAAAGATAACATTTCTGCTAATAACAACCTTTTGGGTTTCAGGATTCTATAATTTAAAACCTTTAACACCAGACTTATAACCAAGAAAGATGCACTTAACAGCCCTAGGCTCCAATTTTCCATTATCAACATGAGCATAAGCAGTGCAACCAAAAACTCTCAACTGTGAATAATTAGCAGGTGAACCAGACCATACCTCAATTGGAGTTTTCTTATTAAGAGCAATAGATGGTGAACGGTTAATGAGATAACAAGCAGTGGAAGCGGCCTCAGCCCAAAAACGCCTATGCAAACCTGCATTGGACAACATGCAACGGGCTCTGGAAATAATGGTTCTGTTCATACGCTCAGCAACACCGTTTTGTTGAGGAGTATAAGGAACGGTGTAGTGTCTGACAATGCCTTCAGACTTGCAATAATTCTTAAATTGCTTAGAACAGAATTCCATACCATTATCAGTGCGAAGTATTTTCACCTTCTTTTCAGTCTGGCTTTCAATCATAATCTTCCACTCCTTAAATGCTGAGAATGCTTCATATTTATGCTTCAAGAAAGAAGGCCATACTTTTCTCGAATAATCATCAATAATAGTCAGCATGTAACTAGCACCACCTAGTGACTTCTTGCGAGATGGTCCCCATAAATCAGAATGCACATAATCAAGAATACCTTCGGTTGTATGAGTCGAAGTATTGAACTTCACCCTCTTGTGTTTGCCGAAGATACAATGCTCACAAAATTTCAGTTTACCAGGTTCATATCCATCAAGAAGACCTGTCTTATTTAACTCTGCCAAACCAAGTTCACTCATATGTCCAAGACGCATATGCCAAAGGTTAGCAGCATCACAATCAGAATTCTTTGAAATAACTGGAGTAGCATTACCTAAAACGGTAAAACCTCGAAGGTAATAAAGACCATTGGTCGAACTTAAGTCACCTTTCATCACAACAAGGGAGCCTTTGGTGACCTTCAAAACACTATCTCCACCTGAATACTTGTACCCCTTTGCATCAAGGGCACTAACAGAGATAAGATTTCTCTTCATCTTCGGAATATACCGAACATCTGTCAAAGTTCTGATTATGCCATCAAACATCTTGATTCGAATAGAACCTATGCCTTCAATCTTGCATGGTGAATTATCAAAACCCAAAACAGAACCAACAGAAGTAGTGGAATCAAAAGTATTAAATCAATCTCTATGTGGACACATATGAAAAGTGCATGCAGTATCAAGTACCCACTCATCATTGGTCTCATCACATCCAGCAATAATGACAAGAGCATCATCGGAACTATCATCACGAGCAACGTTAGCAGAATTTTCACCTTGTTTGTTACCTTTCCTCTTTTCCTTGTTCTGCAACTTGAAACACTCTGAGATGTCATGCCCGTCTCTCTTGCAATACCTGCAATACTTCTTGTCTCTGGATTGCGACCGGCCCCTGTAGTCGTTCTTACTTTTGCCTCTGTTTCCATTATGTGAGTTCTTTTCCTTTGTCCTGCCACGAACAGATAATCCCTCTGCTTGGGATGAACTTGAACCATCATGAGGCACCATTAGTTTCATCTTCTCCTTAGAGTTCAAAGCTTCATAAACTTCATTAAGTGTGAGAGTATCACGACTGTATAATATGGTGTCTCTAAAATTGGTATAAGAACTTGGCAGTAAACAAAGTAACATTAAAGCAGTATCTTCCTCTTCATACTTAACCTCCATTGCAGCTAGATCAGAAATGATCTCTTTAAATTCTGAAATATGATTCAAAACATTACCTCCCTCGGGTAACCTGTGCAGGAATAATTTTTGTTTCAGATGCATCTTGCTGGTAGATCTTTAGTCATGCAAATTCCTTCCAGCTTTAACCATAGAGCGGCGACAGCTTTCTCGCTCAGAACTTCCTGCAAAATATTATTATGCAAATGGAGTTGAATTTGTGACAAAGCCTTACAATCAATTCTTTTCTCCTCAGCAGTCCAGTCCTCAATTCGGTTCTTCCCAAAACTATCCAGTGCTACATCATAGTCGGCCTGTGCCAACAACGCCCGCATCTTGACTTGCCATAGGGTAAATCTTGTGTCACGATCCAGCAGCGGAAAATCGTACTTCATGGATGCCATGAGTCGATAAATTTGTGTACACAAAGTAGTACAAGCCGTAGAAAAATTCTTGACAGAATTTAATATGCGGAGCAAAAAACTAAAACAGATAGCACCTGGTAGTATGTCTCTGGTAATCGAAGACAAAAAACTTATCTGTAGCTTGACGTGACGAATAGTACTAATAGTAGCTAGCTGATCTTGTACTATTTCTGTAGACTTGAGCCTTGTGATCCCACGTGGAGTAGCAACAGCAACCTTGGTTGATGTAGTAGTGCCTCGGGACTGCAGCTTCAGAGACGTGACGATGCTGATGCTGCTTGATCGGCTGGAGAGTTGATTCCTCTACGGGCCGATCCAGATGCAGCCGTACGAAAACTCTTGACGACTTGGTCAAGAACGACTGCAGCAAAAAATCTCAGTCTTGGCGGTGATTTGACGGCTCGGTGGATAGCGCACAGTAGCCGCAGAAAAAACACCGTAGATTGAATTCCGATCAGACTCGGCGGATTGCGCGACGCGGCGGCAGCGCACGCAGACGCAAACCCCAATCTCTCGTCTCAAAACTCGTATCTGAAACCTCAGCTCTGATACCACTTGTTAGATAATAACGAGATAAAAAAGACACGAGAGCACACAGATTTTTACGTGGAAACCCTTGCGGGAGAAAATCATGGACGCACGAAGGCGCAATCACTATGAGAAGGAGTATTACGAGCACGAGACGACAGACCGTCTGAGATGCGACTACATGGGGTATATAAGAGGGACAACACATAGGAGTCCTTGTAGGACCAGTAAACGAGTTGTACTCGTACGCGTCGGTACCAACACAAAAGCCCACACCGGTTGTACTACATCTAGTCCAACACGGTATAATTTGGATCACAATTTAACACCTTCAAAAGAGTTTTTCAACAAGGGGAGTCTGAGAATTTGGGACCAACATTAGCTACTGTTTTATTAGACAAATATCTGGCTTTGACAATATCTTGCCAAACTCCAGTCTGAGTCTCTAGTTTCCACCACCACTTCACTAGAAGACTTAAGTTTTGTTTCCTCAGATCTTTCACACCCAGACCTCCTTTGTCCTTGGATCTACAAACTCTCTTCCATTTCACGAGGTAGTATCTTTTTTTCTTACTACACCCCTGCCAAAAAACATTGGAGTATACCGGGTCTCTTTGCTGATTATATACGTGTACGAGTGCAATTATTTGATGATTAGCTCACGCTGACCTGATTAGTCATCTCCTTTCCCTACGTGCAGCCCATTTACAATCTCCTTCATGTATTGCTCCTCACGTCGTCTCAAGCAACGTGCTCGCGTGTAGGACGAAAGTAATCAAACCAGCTCCCGCGCAAAACTATATAACCAGCACTGGAACCAACCTCAGGTCAATCCATCTCTCGACACCTCATTTCTCCGACGAGCACGATGAGGACGGCGTTGTCGCTTCTCTCCTTCCTCGCCGTCTCAGTGCTTATCCTCGCCCCCATGGCGATGGCGGACGGCTACAGCCAGCCGCAAGACTACCAGCCGCCGGCCTACAGGAAGCCCGCGGACGGCCTTGCCGCCGGATACTACGGCGAGTCGTGCCCCGACATGGAGGGCATCGTCCAGAGGGCCGTCAAGAAGGCCTTCGCCGCAGACTACACCATCGCCGCGGGCCTCATCCGCCTCTTCTTCCACGACTTTGCCGTCGGGGTATGCAATGCATGCAAGAATTATCATACGATTCATCTCTCTCCTCAGATCATCAATCTGCACCGTGCTAATTGAATTCAAAATGCATGCGTGCGCGCCCGTGGCTTAATTTGATCGATAATCAGGGGTGCGACGCGTCGATCCTGATAGACGCGCCGGGGAGCGAGAAGTACGCCGCGGCGAGCAAGACGCTCCGGGGCTTCGAGCTCATCGAGGCCATCAAGACGGAGCTGGAGGCCAAGTGCCCCAAGACCGTCTCCTGCGCCGACATCCTCACCGCCGCCACCCGCGACGCCAGCAGGGAGGTGGGAGTGAGCTACTGGCCGCTCGTGTACGGCCGCAAGGACGGCCGCCAGTCCCGCAAAGAGGCCGCCGACAAGTACGTGCCCATGGGCCGCGAGAGCGTCACAGACCTCGTCGCCTTCTTCGAGTCCATGGGCCTAAACGTCCGCGACCTCGTCGTCCTCTCCGGCGCGCACACCATCGGCAAGGCCAGCTGTGCCGCCGTGAAGCCGCGTCTGTGCAAGAGCAAGCCGGAGACGCTGGACGGCAAGTACGGCGACTTCCTGAGGCGCAAGTGCCGCCGCGGCGACGCGGAGCACGAGCGAGTGGAGCTTGACGGCGTCAGGCCCACGGCGTTCGATAACGGCTACTACAAGAACCTGGAGCGCAGGATGGGACTCCTGGAGACGGACCAGAAGATGCTCCATGACTCCCGGACCAGGAGCTTCGTCCAGGAAATGGCCCGAGAGCCCGAGGAATTCAAGCGCCAATTCGCCGAGTCCATGCGCTGGCTCGGCAACGTGCAGGTCCTCACCGGCAGCGAGGGCGAGGTTCGATCCAAGTGCTCCGCCGTCAACTACTGATCGATCCACATACGTCGGCGAAACAGCATGCGCATCTCGGTTAATTTCTTGGTTCAGGAGCGAAATGTTGCTTGCCTTTTTGGGTTTATTAATTCACTTGTTTTGGTTAATCTTCTCTAAACTACTTATATACTTATACAGTACTACGTGTTTGTGGTGTAAAGTCATGGCATGTGTCAGACATACTTTTGCCTCCCATTGGTTGGAGCCGATGAATGATCTTTTTCAACGTTTTTTTTCTTTTCGAGACACCCAAATCCATTATAAAAGTTCACTGGAAGCATTCCAAATATAAATATAAATTAACTTGTTTATCATTATTTTCTATAGAACTTCATGGACTGCATGATTTCAATTAGGGTTAATTGGATTTATGCCACTGTAACTTTCACGAGTTGAAGAAATGGCATTACAAAAAGTGAAGTTGGAAATATGCCATTACAACTTTCTCATACCTCTACATATGACATTTTCTTTACTTAAGAGAATATCAGTTCAATAAACGCTTGTATTTCAATGTGTATTTCAGTACTGGGCTGGGGAATCAGTAGCTGCATCGCGCGCCACTCCAGCCGCAGCATGCCCGTCGCGCCCACCTCCATGGCTGCCGCCGACGGAGAAACCACTGGCGGGAATCTCGGCGACCTCTCCATGGCTTCACGTGGATTTAGTTCTACGAGTGGAGAGTGGACAACTTATAAACACAAGCACCTTGCTTGCACACGCACATAAGCTGGCCTTGCCGTGGACAGAGTTTCCCGGCGCGCCGGCGCCGTCGTTGCGGAATGACGCTGCTGATTCCACTTTTCACGCGACGACGCATGCGTCTGCCTTCGGCCACCGCCGCTCCCCTCTAGACGTCGGGCCGCGCACACCTCCCGTCGTCACGGCGCCACCCTCCAGCCGCCGGCGCCGCTCACCTCCAGTCACCGGCCGCGTGCCTCCAGCGGGCGGGCCCCTCCAGACGTCGGGCTGCGCGCGCCTCCTGCCGTCGCCGCGCACACCTCCAGCTGCCAGGCCGCGCACACCTCCAGCGCCCACTCCCCTCCAGACGCCACCCGACGTGTGCGTGTGCATGCGGCCCGAATCAGTTTGGGCCAGCGTATAAAGGTATGTGAATGTATACGGGAGATATAAAAGGCGGTATATGGACGGGTATCGAAGACAATGGAAAATGTAGATGTATGAAAAAGTTGCAGTGGCATATTCCCAACTTCGGCTTTTGTAATGGCATTCTTCCAACTCGTGAAAGTTGCAGTGACATGAATCCAATTAACCCTTTCAATTAAGGAGCCCTTTACCGGATGACTAGTGATAGGCGGCGTCGGTTGATCCATCGGAAGTCACTATGGTCTTCTTATGTGAGGTCGAGTTCGTCTAATCCGTGCTTCTCATCCTGGAAAAAATCCTCCTTATCTTCTCCTTTATGTCTTGTCACTCCCAGTCTCCCACACATGGCATGGTTTGCTCCGCTCGCAACTCCACTGTTCGGTAATGAGGACATGACACCTGGGCATACCAGGTAGGCAGGCATTGGATCAACCATGTCATCTACCAAGGTGTTGAGTCGGCCATTCGAGCGCATGCACCAGCCAGGAACCGCACCAACCTCAGAGACAAGGAAGCAGAAAGCTACCTGCGCATGTTTTGTTCGACCAAGGGGCGTAAACCCAAAATTATTCCGATCAGGGCCATGTAGCCCTAGCTCCGCAGAGTATATAAGGCGAGCTAGGGCCCTCTCGGACCAGGATGACATTCTAGAGCCATTTTTTAAGAAAGGGCTTATGGAAAAAGCTGGAAGCCCTCTCTTAAAAAATATGCCGCCTCTAAATTTTTTTGAGACTTCTAAATTAGTTATCCCATAACTAGTTTAGAAGCCCCAATGAATATAAGAGAGGGCTTATGAAAAAAACTGGGGAGAGGCGGCTTATTTTTTAAGCCGCCCAAAAGAACTGGCCTCTAGTAAGGCTCTGCTTGGCAACTCAAAGATTAATATTTTTATTAAGATAGAATGGTATTTTGCTAGTCACCAACAAAAACACCAGAAATCCATTCAATTGTATGGTGTTGTTTGGAAGGCGGTTATGTCTAAGAGCACCAAAACTCCAAACAATCACCGCGCACACCGCATGGAGGAGTTCATCGCGCAACGGGCTTCTGGACACTTGATATATCTCAAACATATCTATAAATTTTGATTGTTTCATACTATGTTTATATCATTTTGGCATAGTTTTGAAATCAATTTTTATCAATTTTCTAGATTAACCTATTAACTCAGTGCCCAGTTTTTCAATTTATAGGAAAACCAATTTTACGGAGCTCCAAAAATACCCCCCAAAATTGCACAAATTATTTTTCCTCGGGAAGCTTCCAAAGGGCTCAGGACCCACCAAAGGGGCCCCACAACCTCCACGCAACCCCACCATGCGGCCAGGGGTGCGTAGGCCCCCTGAACCTCCTATCCACCGCCTTTCGATGCTTATATTTTTTTCCTCTCCATAAACCCTAAACATCGAGGAGTTATTCTGTTTCTGCCGTCGCACCTCTCTGTTCCTTGGCGATCCAATCCAATTGGGAGCCCTTTCCCGATACTCTGTCGGAGGGGGAAATCATCACGGTGGCTATCTTCATCAACTTGAAAGTCACCATGAGCACATGTAAATAGTTTCCTTTGGACTATGGGTCCATATCAGGAGCTAGATGGCTTTCTCTCCATTGCTTCTCAATACAATGGTCACATGAGCCGCCCTACGTGCCCGCGATCCATCTGATGTAGTATGTTGGTGCGTTTGTTGCAGTGTGATGAATTTGTCACTTTATGATCAGATTTATTGATGAGTCTTTTTGAGATCTATTTGGTTTGTTTGTTGCATAATTCTTATTCATATATGCTCTATGGTTTAATTGTCTTTGTTTGACAAAGTTTGATATTTGATCCCCAAAAGTGGGGGTTGTGTATTGATGACCCACAAGTATAGGGGATCAATCGTAGTCCTTTCGATAAGTAAGAGTGTCGAACCCAACGAGGAGCAGAAGGAAATGACAAGTGGTTTTCAGCAAGGTATTCTCTCTAAGCACTAAAATTATAAGTAACGAGTAGTTTGATAGCAAGATAATTTGTAATGAGCAAGTAATGGTAATGGTAACAAAAGTGCAGCAAGATAGCCCAATCCTTTTAAGGCAAAGGATAGGCCAAAACGGTCTCTTATGATGAGCAAAGTGTTCTTGAGGATACACGGGAATTTCATCTAGTCACTTTCATCATGTTGGTTCGATTTGTGTTCGCTACTTTGATAATTTGATATGTGGGTGGACCGGTGCTTAGGTGTTGTTCTTACTTGAACAAACCCCCTACTTATGATTAATCCCCTCGCAAGAATCCGCAACTACGAGAAAAATATTAAGAATAAATTCTAACCATAGCATTAAACATTTGGATCCAAATCAGTCCCTCACGGAATAGCGCATAAACTAGGGTTTAAGCTTCTGTCACTCTTCTAACCCATCATCTAATAACTACTCCACAATGCATTCCCTTAGGCCCAAATATGGTGAAGTGTCATGTAGTCGACGTTCACATGACACCACTAAGGAAACACAACATACATACCATCAAAATATCGAACACATATAAAATTCACATGATTACTTGCAACAAGATTTCTCCCATGACCTTAAGAACAAAAATAACTACTCAAAAATGATAATCATGCTCGAGATCAGAGGGGTATTAAATGGCATATTAGATGTGAACATATAATCTTTCACCAAATAAACCATATAGTAATCAACTACAAGATGTAATCAACACTACTTGTCAACCACAAGTACCAATCTATAGTTCCGGTACAAAGATTGAACACAAGAGATGAAGTGGGGTTTGAGAGGAGATGGCGCTGTTGAAGATGTTGATGGAGATTGCCCTCCCCAAGATGGGAGAGTTGTTGGTGATGATGATAACGATGATTTCCCCCTCCAGGAGGGAAGTTCCCCCGGCAGAATGGCTCCGCCGGAGGGCAAAAGTGCTCCTGCCCAAGTTCCGCCTCGAGACGGCGGCGCTTCGTCCCGAAAGTCCTCTCCTTATTTTTTCTAGGTAAAAATGACTTATATACCAGAACAGGGGCACCATAGGTGGGCCGAGGAGGGCACAACCCACCAGGGCGCGCCTAGGCTCCCTGGCGTGCCTAGGTGTGTTGTGCCCACTTGGTGGGCCCCCTCTGGTACTTATTGGCTCCAATATTTCTTATATATTCCATAAAGATTCCCCTTAAAGTTTCAGCTCACTTGGAGTTGTGCAAAATAGGTAGCCTGGCGTAGCCTTTTCAGGTCCAGAATTCCAGCTGCCGGTATTCTCCCTCTTTGTGTGTACCTTGCATATTATGAGAGAAAAGGCATTAGAATTACTCCAAAAAGTATTGTTATGGGTAAAAACAATATAAATAACAGTAGGAAAACATGATGCAAAATGGACGTATCAACTCCCCCAAGCTTAGACCTCGCTTGTCCTCAAGAGAAAACCGAAATCGAAAAACATGTCCACATGCTTGGAGAGAGAGGTGTCGATAAAAACAAAATACAGGCATAAAAGCATCATGTATATTATTATGACAACAACAAACTTTAACATAAAACTTTATCACATAACTTTTATCATAAACTTTCATCATAGACTTCTCATGAGTAAGTAACAATTCATCAAAACATCGAAGTATAAAGCATAAACTCTATTGTAAACCAACAAACTATGTTCTCAATCAACTTTACAACTAGAATTCATCATCTTTTCAGGAAGGGTCACATATCGGAGCCTTTTTGGCAAGTCCACATACTCAACCATCATATAGTCTTCTATGATTGCTGAGACGTCTCCAACGTATCTATAATTTTTGATTGTTCCATGCTTTTATATTATCATTCTTGGATGTTTTACAATCATTTTATATCATTTTTTGGGACAAACCTATTGACATAGTGCCAAGTTCCAGTTGATGTTTTTT